TAGGGGTGTTTTTTAATCTATGACGCCGGGGTTTTAGAAAATTGCCATTTTTAGAAAAATTAGTCACCAAAAAGTAGATTTAATTCCAAATAACCAGAATATGACACAACGCATAATTTTCTCGTAAAAAAATAATACATATTTAGGGGTGCGTTTTAACCTAGGACGCCGGGGTTTTAGAAAACTGAAATTTTTAGGGAATGTAGTCGTGAGGTACCTGATTAACTCCCACTTAGTCAGAATGTGGCACAAAGCGCCGTTTCCTTGTAAAAAAATAATAATCTTTTAGGGGTGCTTTTTAATCTATGACGCCGGGGTTTTAGAAAACCGCCATTTTTGGAAAAATTAGTTTCCAAGTAGAAGATTAAATCCCAAATAACCAGAATATGGCATAACGCCTAATTTTCTCGTAAAAAAATAATATATATTTAGGGGTGCGTTTTAACCTAGGACGCTGGGGTTTTAGAAAACTGAAATTTTTAGGGAATGTAGTCGTGAGGTACCTGATTAACTCACACTTAGTCAGAATGTGACACAAAGCGCCGTTTCCTTGTAAAAAAATAATAATCTTTTAGGGGTGCTTTTTATACTATGACGCCGGGGTTTTAGAAAACCGCCATTTTTAGAAAAATTCGTTCTCAAGTAGAAGATTAAATCCCAAATAACCAGAATATGGCACAACGCCTAATTTTCTCGTAAAAAAATAATATATATTTAGGGGTGCGTTTTAACCTAGGACGCCGGGGTTTTAGGAAACTGAAATTTTTAGGGAATGTAGTCGTGAGGTACTTGATTAACTCCCACTTAGTCAGAATGTGGCACAAAACGTCGTTTCCTTGTCAAAAAATATTAATCTTTTAGGGGTGTTTTTTAATCTATGACGCCGGGGTTTTAGAAAATTGCCATTTTTAGAAAAATTAGTCACCAAGAAGTAGATTTAATTCCAAATAACCAGAATATGGCACAACGCATAATTTTCTCGTAAAAAAATAATACATATTTAGGGGTGCGTTTTAACCTAGGACGCCGGGGTTTTAGAAAACTGAAATTTTTAGGGAATGTAGTCGTGAGGTACCTGATTAACTCCCACTTAGTCAGAATGTGACACAAAGCGCCGTTTCCTTGTAAAAAAATAATAATCTTTTAGGGGTGCTTTTTATACTATGACGCCGGGGTTTTAGAAAACCGCCATTTTTAGAAAAATTCGTTCTCAAGTAGAAGATTAAATCCCAAATAACCAGAATATGGCACAACGCCTAATTTTCTCGTAAAAAAATAATATATATTTAGGGGTGCGTTTTAACCTAGGACGCCGGGGTTTTAGGAAACTGAAATTTTTAGGGAATGTAGTCGTGAGGTACTTGATTAACTCCCACTTAGTCAGAATGTGGCACAAAACGTCGTTTCCTTGTCAAAAAATATTAATCTTTTAGGGGTGTTTTTTAATCTATGACGCCGGGGTTTTGGAAAATTGCCATTTTTAGAAAAATTAGTCACCAAGAAGTAGATTTAATTCCAAATAACCAGAATATGACACAACGCATAATTTTCTCGTAAAAAAATAATACATATTTAGGGGTGCGTTTTAACCTAGGACGCCGGGGTTTTAGAAAACTGAAATTTTTAGGGAATGTAGTCGTGAGGTACATGATTAACTCCCACTTAGTCAGAATGTGGCACAAAGCGCCGTTTCCTTGTAAAAAAATAATAATCTTTTAGGGGTGCTTTTTAATCTATGACGCCGGGGTTTTAGAAAACCGCCATTTTTGGAAAAATTAGTTTCCAAGTAGAAGATTAAATCCCAAATAACCAGAATATGGCACAACGCCTAATTTTCTCGTAAAAAAATAATATATATTTAGGGGTGCGTTTTAACCTAGGACGCTGGGGTTTTAGAAAACTGAAATTTTTAGGGAATGTAGTCGTGAGGTACCTGATTAACTCACACTTAGTCAGAATGTGGCACAAAGCGTCGTTTCCTCGTAAAAAAATAATAATCTTTTAGGGGTGCTTTTTATACTATGACGCCGGGATTTTAGAAAACCGCCATTTTTAGAAAAATTAGTTTTCAAGTAGAAGATTAAATCCCAAATAACCAGAATATGGCACAACGCATAATTTTCTCGTAAAAAAATAATATATATTTAGGGGTGCGTTTTAACCTAGGACGCCGGGGTTTTAGGAAACTGAAATTTTTAGGGAATGTAGTCGTGAGGTACTTGATTAACTCCCACTTAGTCAGAATGTGGCACAAAACGTCGTTTCCTTGTCAAAAAATATTAATCTTTTAGGGGTGTTTTTTAATCTATGACGCCGGGGTTTTGGAAAATTGCCATTTTTAGAAAAATTAGTCACCAAGAAGTAGATTTAATTCCAAATAACCAGAATATGACACAACGCATAATTTTCTCGTAAAAAAATAATACATATTTAGGGGTGCGTTTTAACCTAGGACGCCGGGGTTTTAGAAAACTGAAATTTTTAGGGAATGTAGTCGTGAGGTACCTGATTAACTCCCACTTAGTCAGAATGTGGCACAAAGCGCCGTTTCCTTGTAAAAAAATAATAATCTTTTAGGGGTGCTTTTTAATCTATGACGCCGGGGTTTTAGAAAACCGCCATTTTTGGAAAAATTAGTTTCCAAGTAGAAGATTAAATCCCAAATAACCAGAATATGGCACAACGCCTAATTTTCTCGTAAAAAAATAATATATATTTAGGGGTGCGTTTTAACCTAGGACGCTGGGGTTTTAGAAAACTGAAATTTTTAGGGAATGTAGTCGTGAGGTACCTGATTAACTCACACTTAGTCAGAATGTGGCACAAAGCGTCGTTTCCTCGTAAAAAAATAATAATCTTTTAGGGGTGCTTTTTATACTATGACGCCGGGATTTTAAAAAACCGCCATTTTTAGAAAAATTAGTTCTCAAGTAGAAGATTAAATCCCAAATAACCAGAATATGGCACAACGCATAATTTTCTCGTAAAAAAATAATACATATTTAGGGGTGCGTTTTAACCTAGGACGCCAGTAGATGAGCTAGAGCGGGATTAGATCACTTTGGTAAGCTGTCCATCCAGTTCTCAACTCGGATGACGTAGGGCCTGAAGAAGTAGCCGAAAACGAAGAAGAAGTGATCCCCAATGACCAGAAAGAGGTCTTTACCTTCAGAACACCCCCGAAGAACCCCTAAAGAAAAGAACTGCCCTAAGGGTAGCCGCAGGTAACCAGAGACGTCATAGGTACAGGTGTATACAGGTGTGAAAAATGTCACCTGTAGAGATGAGGCTGAAGAGTACTGACGAGCCTCGCCTAGCCTAGCCCGTATTGTAGGAAAGAAAAAATATAAAAGGTTAGAGTTCACACAGATAACATGTATATAAATAATACAAATTTGTTGATTAATTTATTATTTATAATGAATTCCAACAGACCGACACCATTTAGACCTGTAGGAATAATATATATTTATAATTGTAACTACTGTTATTTTGAACACAAATTTTCACGAAGATTGTACAGTTTCGAAATATTTTGTTGTATGAGGTGTAGAAGAGAGCAAAGTGCTTGTCAACCAAACTCGTGGATTGAATATTAAGGATACCTATTGTTTGTTTTCTTGTATAAGATGCCAGTGCCAATAAAATATAAGTGTATTATATGTGGTGGAGAAACTGATGCGGATATAAGAATATGTTTCGTTTGTGAAGTAAAAGACTTTTTTAAAAAAAATGATAATGCTAAACACATACCATCACATTATACAACACAATATTATAGTGACTGATATTAAAAAGTGTAATAAATAAATTTATAATAAATTTTTTGTCTTTTTTTTTATTTATTAGGTAAGCGAATTAAAACAACATTAATGATTAAGAATTATATATTTATTATCTATTTAATTATAACAATATAGTTATTTTAATGAAATAAAGTGATCAAACTGTTTTCTGTAACGTCCTTTGTCCATATCATTATCTTTAAAAATTGATAGAAATTGATACTTTGTTTGCCAACAGAAGGAACACATATTTTTGAATTGATCAAATGTCATATCGGTTCCAACATGATCATTGTAGATATGTTTTAAATTCATATCATCTTGTTTAAATACAATCAAAACATTTGAGTTGTCACGAATTAAATGTTTAGGAGTTTTTGCATAACTCTGACTTAAATAGAACGGATCCACTTTAGCATGTCTAGACATACTGAAATATTCTCTAATAACATTTTGATTATCACAAGCAACATCATCGAAAATAAAAATGGAATTAGGTTTAGCTTCAGATGGATGCATTATGTTTGTACCTGCACTGAATGTATGATATCCAATCCCTTTAATAGGTTTCAGTAAAGTTTCCAAATATTTATATTTGGGTTGATATAAAGATTTAGAATAGACATAAACATTTTCAAATTTTAATTCATTCGGATGTTCTATCAAGTTAATCATTACATTAGTTTTACCACAATTAGATGGACCTATGATTAAACATCTGATAGTAGAAGGAAACAAAATACTATGTTTTTTATATCCATTTTTTTTTTAAATCTTCAAACATATTATTTTCAACATTTAAGGTTGTATTTTGTTTAACTATCTTCATGATTACTATTCTCTTTGATTGTCTGTATAAAAATAATAGATCATAATATTCATATAGGTATATATATATGATATAAATTATATTTTTTAAGTATTTCACTGTTTGATGTTGAACTAAAACAATCAACAATGTTAAATGCTGCTATAAATAAGTTACCTATTGAATTACATATTCCTGGTTATAGATTTTGTGGACCTGGAACAAAGTTACAAAAACGATTATCTCGAGGTGATAGAGGTATAAATGGTTTAGATGAAGCCTGCCGTGAACATGATATAGCCTATTCTCAAGAAAAAAATGTTAAAAAACGACATGAAGCTGATAAAATTTTAGCTGAGAAAGCAATGAGTCAATTCCGATCAAAAAATACAGCATTTTCAGAAAAAATGTCCGCTCTTGGTGTTGCTGGTGTAATGAAAGCAAAAGTTAAATTAGGACTAGGATTGAAACCTAAAAATTATAAGATGTCGATAAAAAATTGTAATAAGGAATTGAATAAAGTGAAAAAAGTTTTAGAAAAAGTAACAGATGGTATAAATTATTGTATTACAATTTTACAAGGAAATCCAATCACTACTAATTCGGAAACATCAAATAAAAAACGGTTACAACATAAAGCTAGTGTTAAAAAACAACAAGACAGTAAAGTAAGAGCACGAAAAATTAAACAACAAGAAAAGATGGATATTGATATTGCTGATGATTATCCAATGACAAAAATATCTATTCCTTTAGAAATAAAAGAGAGTGAACATTTAAACCCAAAACGACAAAAACCTATAAAGAGAAAACTAAGTGACAGTATTATGGATAATGATGACGACGATGATGGTTTATCGTTGAAAAAACCCAAAATAGATTTAAATGAACCTATTAAAATAACTAACAACAAAAAACGTAAATTTGAAGAGAGTAGTATCAACGAAGAAAATGGTAAAAAAATCAAAAATATATAAATATGCAAGCATCCAAATTGTTTGATCAGTCTCTCTCTGATTATTGTTAACAAAACAAAAAATAATCAAAATGTCATCTACAAAAAAAAGTAAATCAAAAAGGAAACAGTCAAAAAGAAAAATTAATGTGAAAAAATCAAAAAAACTCAAAACGATAACTCTATCAAAAGCAATTCAAAAGATAAGAAAACAACTTTTAATTAGTAAACCACAAACTCTGGGCTCAGCTATTCAATTAGCGTTAAAAGTTTTAAAGTCATTTAACAAGAAAATATCAAAACCACGAGTCATCAAAGTTCCCAAAACAGGTGGAATACTACCGTTAATACTAATTTTTGCTGGACTAAGTGCCCTTGGAGCCTTGACTGGAGGGGCTGCGTCAATTGCGAAAGCAGTGGGTGATGCTAAAGCTGCGAAAGAACAATTGCTGGAATCTCATCGTCATAACAAAACAATGGAATCTATTGCAATTGGTAAAGGACTCTATTTGAAACCCTACAAATCAGGACTGGGTCTTTTTTTATAACGACAAAAGTTAATGGACGAAAAATAAAATTACCACAACGTCCATTAACCAATATCGATTTAATAAAATATGTTAAAATATTGAATATTCAACATTTCAGAGGAGTATTTATGAGAAATGATTTTCCACAAAAAATTTGGACAAATGAAACGGGTATTATTAATTTAGATAACAAAAATGGTAATGGAACACACTGGACAGCATATAAAAAAAATCAATCACAAATCATATACTTTGATAGCTACGGTAATCTTCAACCTCCATTAGAAGCACTCAAATATTTTAACTCTAATGGTTTTTGTCACATTTTATATAATCATGGAGTGTATCAAAAAAATAATACTTTTAATTGTGGTCATTTATGTTTATATTTTTTAAATAAATAGAGAGTAATAAATATGTTTTTGTTTATTTTATTTCCAACCTTTATTCAGTTACAATGTCTTCAACTTTTGTAATATCAGGACGTGATTCTATATTATCAACAAAAATATATCCTCCAATAATTTTAGAGGAAGAAGCAGACTATCAGATTGGTTTAATTGATTTCTTTACATACAATACAATTCCAAATGTTGATAAAACAAATAATATGTTCTATATAGATAAACATGAAATTAGTATACCTGAAGGTTCATATGAAGTAGATGACATAGCGAGATATATACATTTTAAATTAAAAGAAATCGAGTATCATAAGGAATCCTCATCGAGTGGTGATAAAACTAATAAAACAAACAAATCAAATGTGTTAAAAAAATCTGAAGAAGGAAAACCCGAATTGGTTAAATCAAATATAATTAAACCTCCAGAACATCAACAAAGAATCAAAAGAGATATTTCTAATAAACAAGAAGGAGAAGAGGAAGGAGAATATGAGACAGTATTGTTATTAAAAACTAATCACAACACTCTGAAATGTGAAATAAAAAGTAATAAAACGATACACTTTGAAAAACCTAAATCAATTGCATCCTTATTAGGTTTTGAGAAGAAAAAATTATCAGCTTTTCAAACACATGAATCCAAATATCCGATAAACATTAATAAAGTTAATTCAATTTGCATTGACTGTAATATCGTTAGAAATTCTTATAATAATAATAAATCTGTACATACAGTACATATGTTTTTTCCTAGGGTACCACCAGGTTATAAAATTATTCAGGTACCTACCAATGTTATCTATTTACCAATCAATACTAAGTATATTGATGAAATTGTTATTAAAATAGTGGATCAAGATGGGAATCTTATCAATTTTAAACAAGAAGTTGTAACAGTAAGACTTCATTTAAGAAAAGTTTGAAAAATAAAAAAATGGTCCTAATTTATAATAGAAAATCTTCATCTGTGATGTCATCACCACTTTATAATGATAAAAAAGAAAACGTTTCTATTACCACTAACAGTATAAAAAGAAGACTCAAACAGTTAACACCAGAAAATAAAAACATTTTGTTATCCCTTGGATTTAAAGTCTTATCATAAAAAATAATCAAAGAAAAAAAAATGAATTCTGATATATTAAACGTTGATAATCATGTATTAGTTGATAATGCTATTGTTGATTGTCAAATATTTGATCATCCTCCGTATGCTAATACAACCTATAATAATTCGGATGAAATACGTATACCACTCCAAACAAAAGATATTTATACATTACCTTCAAAGAGTTACTTATACATTGAAGGACGTTTGACAGACTCTGAGGGAAAAGAAAGTGCAACATTAAATTTTGTTAATAACGGTTTAGCACATCTTTTTGATGAAATTCGTTTTGAAATTGGTGGATGTGTTATAGACCGAGTTCGCAACCCTGGTATTACATCAACATTAAAGGGTTATATTTCATTTACTGAGAGTGAATCCAATAGATTAAACGCTTCGGGTTGGAATCCTACTTTAACACCACAAATTGTAGATAGTCAAGGATATTTTAATGTTTGTATACCGTTAAGAATGTTGCTAGGCTTTTTTGAAGATTATAAAAAAATTATCATAAACATACGACAAGAACTTGTATTGATTCGAAGTTCTACAGATCTGAATGCTATAATTTCAACAAAAGCAAATGAAAAACCAAAAATTGAATTGACAAAAATGTTCTGGAAACTTCATCATGTGCAAGTCTCTGATATTGAAAAACTACGTTTAATTAATCATATGGATGCCGGAAAAAAATTAGAACTTGACTTTCGCAGTTGGGAACTTCATGAATATCCGTTACTACAACAATCAACGAGACATACATGGAATATAAAAACAACCAATTCAGTTGAAAAACCTCGTTATGTTATTGTGGGTTTTCAAACTAATAAGAAAAACGATGCATCAAAAAACATGAGTCGATTTGATCACTGTAATTTAACGAATATGAAATTATATTTAAATTCACAAATGTATCCGTATACAAATTTAAATTTAAATTTTGAAAAAAATATATATGCTATTCTCTATGAAATGTATGCTAATTTTCAAGAAAACTATTATTATAAAGATATTGGAGAACCATGTCTCTCCAATTTAAAATTTCGTGATTTAGCTACAATAACAGTCATCGATTGCAGTAATCAAAATGATTCATTAAAATCAGGTAGTGTTGACATTCGATTAGAATTTGAAACAAGTAAAAACATATCAGCAAATACTACAGCTTTTTGTTTAATTATACATGATAAAAGTATTAAATATAATCCTCTAACCAACGTTGTTTCAAATTTTTAAAATTAAATTATTGCTTCTCTTATGTTAGTTATAAATAAATTGTATATTTTTAATATTTGATTTGTTTTTATATATATTAGGATATTGTATATTTAATAAAACACATACATAAACATATTTAGTCTATTTATTTTTCTATTGTTACAATATTCATACCAATAATAGAGAAAATAAACATTTTCTAACGCACATATAATATTTCTACTTGGAATGTGGTTGTTACATTGACGAGATTTAAATATGACTTTACAATCGTCATACGATAACATTTCTGGATAATTTTCCAATACAATTATTTTATTAAAAATAAAGTTTCTTAAATATTTTTCTATATTTGCATTTGCCACGAAAATACTTTCATCTAACACATAACTTTGGATAAATTTGGATATTTCTTCGTAATTGAGTTCATCCTCTTGGTTCCAAGAATCCCATTCCAAACCATGTATATTGTTAGTAGTGAAATTAATATGATTCAATACTGTTGAACACATCATATTTCTTGTAAACGGTAGCTTCACAAATTTATGTACATAATCCTTATTTTCAATATTAAAAATTGTAATTTCTCTACATAAAAATACATTTTCTTCAGGAAATGAAAACCCTTGTACATCAATGATAAACATATTTAAAATTGTTTGAATACTTTTATACAATTAAATACAAATTATCTGTTCTTCTTTTATATTTAAAGCCTTCCCCCCTCCATTACAATACATTTTTTTTATCAATCCAACTATTGTGGGTGTTATCAAAACCAAGCCATTTTACAAAAACTTTATTTCCTTTTCTTTTAAAATCCTTTCCACAAGATATACATCTGGATATTTAACTTTTTGTAACTGTTCATTATAAAATGTACCCAGAATATTTTCATTTTTATAATCCTTTAATAAATATGTAATAGGATTGGTTAATCTAACTTTACGTATACTAAAAATTTCAGTCGACCAATTCGGTATATATTTTTTATCGAATACACCTCTATTTTTAGAAATACGAACCTGTTCACCAATTTGAAATTTTTGTTCTTTTAAATCTACTTGTTTTATTTTATTATATACAGAATTTAATAATTGTTTTTCATTTTTTTTATTAACTTTTGATGGTTTCAATCCAATGGTTCTATGTTTTGTATTATTATACTTGTTGATTATATTCTGTAAAATATTTATCCAGTTATAATTACCATTGAAACTAAATTCTTTCCATAATTGAGACTTTAAGGTTCTAATAACTCTTTCTGCAATAGATGCTTTTTTCTCACTATATACATTATAATGGTTAATATTATATTTCATTGTTAAAGCTCTCATTGGTGGATTAAAAAATTCTGTACCCAAATCAGTTTGTAAATTTTTAGGTTGTTGATGTTGAAACACTTTTTCAATACTTTTTGCCACTTCAAAACCTGTTTTATTTTTTAGAGGGAAAGCCCATACAAATTTTGAAAAACAATTAATTACTATTAGTATATGTTTGTATCCTCTATTTTCATTTGAATATTTTTGCATATCTGCCAAATCAGCTTGAAATAAATCATTGTACGATTTAAGTATAACTTTTCTTCTTTTAAAATTAATTCTAGCAGGTTTATGAATTTCATTAACCACTTGCCGTTTAATATTTATCTTGTTTTTCATTTTTATTTTGTTTTTTTATGCTATAATACGTGCTTCTTTAAGTTCCTCAATAATAGAATTTATTTCATTTCTATGACTAGTATGACCTGCTTCTTGAGAAGCTATTAATAAACGCAATTTATCAACTAACTGATTTGGATCATCCCAATGAATATAATCTATTTGGTTATTGGTAACTTCCATAAACATTCCCCTTCCGTCTGTTATTGGAGCAATTATCTTTTTATATTTTACACTTTTACTACCGTCTACTTGTTTATCTGCTCTATAATATCTCCTATTAGCATTAGTTTTTTGGACAATTTTTAAATAATTTTCTTCATCTTGTTTGGAAAAATTCTTAGGATGTTTTTTAAATAACAACTCGTATAAACCTTGAGTTCCCTTGTATTTTTTACAATTACGTCAGAATCATTGATGAATACTTGTGAATCACCAATCATTAATTTTTTAGTAGAACTATCAAATCGAATTCCGTATTTATGATCAAATTCTTTGTTATCTATATCACGATACATTTCATCAATATATTTTCTAGGTAATGGATCATATTGTTCTAGATGATGTAGTGTAACCAACTAAAATAAAGAGAGACAACTTGACTAATATCTCTCTCTTTTATAAAAGTATGATAAATAAAGTGGCGGCGTGATCGACTATGAAGTGATTAGGACACCACGAGTGACAGACTGAAAGATTCGTTATCTATTGGCTACTTACGTGTTATTGAGGGAGTGGTAAAGGTTAAAAGAAAACATCTATTGATTTATATCTAATCTTTATTGAAAATATTATAGATGACAGAATCAGAATGTAAAAATGTATAAAATATATTTATTTATAAAGATTAAATATAGGTCTGGTTCGGTGCAATAAAAGAAAATAATTAATTTATCAAATGAGGGGAAAGAACCAGCAAGAAAACCCCAACGTGATAATAAATACAATAAAACCAATCAAACGTCAATTTGGATACAAATGACAAATTAAGTATATATATAAAAAAACACATTTAATTACTTGATGTTTTAGTTAAAGACAGAAAAATATATGAAATAATATTCAATTTAGGTTATACACAGGAAAATATATGAAATAATATTCAATACATTATGTATAAAAAAAAACAATATTTAAGGCTGCAAGGCAAAAATAAAATAAATATTTTAAGAACAATAACTCATCAGATAACAAACATTGAGCATTACTAGGTTCAAACACACTCGATGCAAAACTGAAGAAGGTTTATTAGGGACAAGGTAATGGGGAAACTCTACAGCTTTACTACCCACCTAAAGTTGAATATTCTGGTGACAAAATCAGGTAAGTTACCGGGACACCTATCCCGATGTTGTCCCAGCCACGGGCGGAAAATTTTAGTATCAATCAACAAGGCATTTTATACTTTTAACTTAGATCTGCCAATGCTGTGAATATCTGATGTTAGGAAAACACATAATTTACTAATATAATATTACTTTTCCCTTGCCGAACTTTAAAAATGACTAAAAAAATAATCTCAATGTCAAATAAAAATTATAGCAAATTTTCCTTAGCATAACTACAAAATATCAATAAACTTCAAAAATATTTAAATTAAAATATTAAAAGGATGCTATTTTTCACTGATTTAGATAGTAAAATAAGTCATAAAATCAAATAAACTCGTAATTGGAATGCAAGCAATTTTTATGACATATACAAAAAATGCTGTCAAGAAAAAGCATGAAATTACTTATAACAGTGAAATTCAAATCTAAATAGTGAACCATCAACTAGTTAAATAATATAAAAGTAATTGAAACATAATAATTGATTTAAAAAGGCACTTACATTTTTATCACAAATAAAACTAACAAAAACCTACACCTTTTTTAACAATCGCGACATTCCATTTCCTCTACCTTCAAAATCTGACATTCCATAAATAATTCCCGTTCCTATGCGATGATTCCCTGTTTCTATTCCAGCGCATCCACGACTTTGGTTTCATTCAACGGGGACGGAATTAAATACGATCCCTTTCAGACGCCCCTCTGAAAGTTAGATAGGCGAAAACTGTTGAAGCTCATCAAACTTTCAAAACCCTAGTAGGTAAACACCTGTTGTGGTAGTTCCAGCGACGGTCATGCTAGTCAATATCTCACCAAAATTCCTCGATTAGGTCATGAAACATAAGACAAAAAAAAAAACAGAATTAAATTTTTGCAAATATAATTTTTTTTTAAATCAGTAATAACGTTCGCTTTGGTTTCCTTACAACTTGAAAAAAAAAACATAAAAAACCAGAACTAATTCTTTTGTAGACATAATTTTGAATTGGTAATATCTTGACGTTTCGGGCCATGTTGTATTCGGCGATCGGCATTTGCTCTTAGGCAGCCATGGACCTTTTCGTGAATAGCTTCCACGGACTCAACGGGAGACACCGGCAAGAAACGCATAACCAGATCATTTAAATCGCCAGAGGGAGGGGTACCAAAAACAATTTGATTTGGGGAATAGCCAGTGCTAGTGTGAGGGGTATTATTGAACAGTGTTTCAATATTTTTCAGATGATTTGTCCAGCCAGCATGAGAGCGTTGACATAATATCCGAAATAAACGACTTAATTCTTTCATAACCCTTTCAGAGGGGTTTGAGGCAGGGTGTCTAATAGAAGATAACGTGGATTTTATTTTGTGTCGCTTTAACATGGCTTGCCAGATATGGGGAGTAAATTGAGTCCCGTGATCAGTTAAGATCGTTTCAACTTTCATAATTTGAGAAAAATCTTGGATTATTTTTAAGGCAGAAATCTTAGCCTGTGCTCTTCTAAGCGGATACGATTTAACAAATTTGGAGAAAGAATCGATAACCACAAAAATATATTAAAATCTTGCCACGCCCCTCAGGTAATGGGCCATAATAATCAGCTGTGACCAGTTCCCCTGGCTTGTTGGTCATAATAGGGCGAATTTTCCCAATAAAATACCGTTGAGGAAATTTGAAAGTCTGACAGATGTCACATGACCTAATTATATTATGAATACATCGCCTTAAATTCGGAAAATACAAAATTAGTTTTAACACGGCATACAATTTTGAAGTACCAAAATGACCATAATGAACACGATAAGCATTTGTTAGGGATTCGTTTTAATACCCTCGGAAGAAAGGATGTGTCCCAAAAATTAACTTTCGTTTTGGAAAAATCTGCATTTTTCTAAGTTGAAAGTCATATTGGCATCGAAAAGTTTACTGAAAATTGTTGCAACTAATTTAAGTGCTGCTAAACACTAGAAGATATTACAATGAAATCGTCCAAATATTTTTTTAACAAATTCATCTAGCTCTGTTCCAAGGATAACGTCT